CTGAACCGGAATTGGAACGACACGGACACTTCTGTTCTGCCCATATACCGCGAAATGATAGCCGGGGGTTTGAGAGTTTGGGTTTTCAGGTATATACACATACATCTATATATAGCTTTTGTTTTAAGTTGGATTGATTACAGAGTTTGTTTCTAATCATTCCCGAGCACAGTGGCGACGTGGATTCAGTGGTGCCAGTGACCGCCACAAGGTACTCTCTTGCACGGTTGAAGCTAAATACCAAGATCCCTTGGTATCCTTGGTATGTCAAGAACCAGGTTAGTAATATTCATATACTTCTGTCTTGATTTCCAATTTCCGGTTCAATCTCATCGTTTTCGAATGACTTGTTCGAATGGTCGAGCATATGACGTATTCTATTGGTCGTATTGTCTATGAATTTTGGGTGATAAGGTCGGAGGATGGACCGAGGTATACGAGGGATTAACGTTTGTGACGGTTAGAGGAGCAGGTCATGAGGTGCCATTGTTCAAGCCGAGAGCTGCTCTTCAGCTTTTCAAGTACTTCTTGAGAGATCACCCTCTTCCCAAGGCTTGAAGAGAAGCCTACCTCATGGTTGTGGGGTTGAAATTGACATTAAAAAAAGTTTGAGGGTGATAATATGACATGGTGTAAAATTTGGGGCCATATGAATTTAAATACCGATCGAAGCTCTGTATTTTCCATTTCTTCATGTTAATGGGGAAAAAAGAGAGTGAAAAAATTGTTAAAAAATTAGATGATGATTGGTTTGATCACTCATAAGCCTCGTAGGGTTAATTCCGGTTTTAGGTCCACGGTCCAAGATCTTGGTTAAACCGAAATGGGAGAGGAGGGTGAATATTTAATGTGATTTATAATAAACAATTATTGTTTTAAACTTAATTAACGTGATTTGGTTATGGGTGTTCAATTGTAATTAATTAGCATTAATAAATAAACACACAATGTTTGAAATTTTAACCAAAAAAAGCCATATATATATATATAGAAGAAGGGTTGTTGACAACCAAATTATAAAATATATACTCCTTTCGTTTCATTTTATATGACGTTTTAGATTAATTTTTTTTTATTTCAAAATGAATGATGTTTTCATATTTTCAATATAATTTTTAATATTTGTTCAAATTTACCCTTAATTAATAATATTTAAATATTTTGCATATTTAGATATAACAATTATCTATACAATAAATAAGGGTATTTTGGATAAAACATTATTTTTTTTAAAATTTGTGTCTTTAATTCTTAAACGTCATGTAAAATGAATCGGAGAGAATATAATTTTAATTGATTTAGCAAAAAATTTATATGTTCATTTTGTTTGTCACAATGAATACTACGATTTAGTTTGCTCTTTGGAGGTCGAAAAAAACCTGCAGTAACTAAAAAAAGAAGAAAATATATATATATATATATATATAGAAGAAAATATATATATTAGTTTCACATTTTACCAAAATAACAATTAGATCCCTTAATTCTTAATTAGATAATAAATATTATCTAAATAAAATAACACATGGTACATATCTTAATTTGATTATAGCTAGTGTTGGTGTATATAATTAGATCCGTGTGATATTTGCTCGTGGGATTGAGATGTGGTAACGGAAGCTGCTTGAGGCCTTGCCCCATTGTCAAACAAAACCCACCTTAACGATGGATAGAGTGTCGCAGTTTCAACTCTCGCGTGTACGGATCCTACGATGGGGCCTCTTATTTTCCCTCTGTCCACCCAAATGAAAGGTTTGGGGATATATATATATATATACTATTATATAGAATCTATGAAGTTATTGCAAAGTAGTGATGTCCGATTCTTCCAAGCTTTTGGGAACTGATTTGATGTATGGAGATTGAAGTGGGGCGTCAGTTCATGTGGATGCTCATTGCAACGAAAGCTTCCATAACTGTCGGTTCGGACATGTCAGAATCACATAGTATCTGATTTTGTTGGAAAGTGATGCAAGAGGTACAAAGGACAGATTTGATCGCCGCCCTTGGTTTCCTACCATGCTGGCTAAAATCCTCCCCGTTCGCATATTAAACCCCTTTTTTGTAATGGGAAATTTCAATAACCAACAAAAAATGTATTATTTTGTACAAAAAATCAAAACTTTACGAGATTATTTGAGCGGAATGGTCCAACTTTCAAGACTATCTAGACTTGTGCATATTTAATTTTAAATATATGAAAACCGTGACCGACCGAACCGGTCGACCCTACGGAAGATGGGAAAAAATTGTACGAAATTCGATTTTCGCCGGGTCCACACTAGGGGTGGGCAAAATTGCCCGTAAATCGGGTACCCGTCCCGACCCGAGAGTCGGATTTTAAAATATCTAAAACCCAAAATTCGGGTTCGGGTTCGGATTTACACTTTCGGGTCAGATAATTATCCGCGGGTACCTGAATAATAAAAAATAAATATTATTTATTTAAAATTTTTAAAATTAATAAAAATATCTATCAATTATCTTGAATTTTTATATTTTTATATATATAAACTATTATTTTATTATCTAATCATTTTAAATATAAATATTTTTAATTTTTTTCATTAATTTTATGAATTATTTGTATAAAATCTATAAATTTATAATTTTTTTAAAAAAATAATTAAAATTTTTCGGGTTCGAGTATCCGCGGGTACCCGAAAATTATCTCGTAATACACTTCGGATATCCGAAAACTCGGATTCGAGTTCGGATTTTAAAATATGTTATTTTTTAGATTCGGATTCGGATTCGGGTATCTTAAAAATCTCGGGTACCCGACCCGTGCTCACCCCTTGTCCACAAATATATATATTTTTTTGCCATTAACCCCATGAAATAATTGTATATATTATTAGGGTAACGGGATGATACAACTCGACCCAAAAAAATTTCTAATAAATTACGATGAATAATCCCTATATACATGTGTGTGTATATATATATTACTCACAACCCATTTAAGATTTTTTTTTTAAAAAGGGAGAATTATCAAAAAAAAAAAAACATGGCCGCTATCTAATCCTTAAAGAATTACAAAAATGCCTCTCGGAACACGGGCACAGATTCGGGCTGTACAACAACAAACAGGAATTTGGGCTGAGCCACATTTACAGCCCTTTGGGCTCATTGACTCAATAATGGGCTTTTGGGCCTTCTCCTGCCCAACTGGGAATCTTCAGTTCGGTTTTGGCACTTCGAATTTGTTACCGTTCAATTCAATTCAAATTTCGTTTGATTGTTAGAATTAATTGACAACCGAAATTAACCGTCATTCGAATGATTATAATCAAACCTTATTACGTATTTATTATTATATAATTTAGTGACAACATCGTAATAAACTCAAAGATTAAGGTTATATATATGTGTTCCTTTGGAAAACCTTGTAACGTCTCGGAAATTAAAGATTAAGGATGCTCACGAAACAAGAGAGAGGGAAAACAAAAACTATAAAAGTGCAGAGGAAAATAGAAAAACTAAACCAAAAGAATTACGGTTCAGACCGGATGTTCAATCTGAACCGGCTCAGCTGAACCGGTCTTTCATGGTACGATGGCAAGCAGCGGCTGCAGAAAGAGTACAGAATGAACCATTAACACAAAGTTTAGTGATTCTGGAGACGAAAGATAGAACAGCATTTACCGGTTCAAACCAAGAAAACTGAAATTAAACCGACATAAACCGAGAGAGAGAGAGAGAGAGTACCGAGTCGAGGCTGACAGGTTTTCCATCTTCAGCAAGTATCTCGGCGATAGTTCCTGATTGGTCAGCCTGTTTCAACACCATAGATTTTCCGCGGGTTAGAACGAAAAGTCTCTGTATATACACGCACGCAAACGCGCGAATGGATGCCACATATCTGACTACGTTTTCCGAGCGGTCAAACCGATAAGAGAGTAGGATCGTTTGCTTTCTTAAGGAATAAGAAAACGGACCTCGATTTCGTTCATCAGTTTCATAGCCTCAATAATGCAAACAACTTGACCCTTCTGCACCTTGTCTCCAACCTACAAATCCCCACAAGAAAAAAAGGAAGCTGAAGACTCTTAGAATATGGCGTAAATGGTGAGGCACTTTCCAACATAAGATAAGGAAATCACTCCAATTCCAAAGGGGAAAAAAGAAAGAAAGAAGATAGTGAGTACCTTAACGAAAGGAGGTTCACCGGGAGCAGGAGAACGGTAGAAGGTGCCGGCCATAGGAGATTTGAGGGGAGGATGAGAAGGGGATGGCTTTGCCTTAGCCGGGGCAGCAGGAGCCGAGGGAATAGAGCTTGGAGCAGCTGGTGGGGCGGCTGGTTGAGCCAGAGGCATAGCCATTGGAGGCGGCATTGAGTATATGGGGGCTGGTGCTGCTGCTGCCACAGACTGCTGAAGAGCTTCCTTCTTCCTTATAACGATCTCGCAGTCCAGTTGCTTCAGTTCAAGCTCCACTATGTCTCTTGAATCCACAAGCCTTCATGTTTTTTTAAAAAACGCATAGATCATGCAACCCAGAATCGAAATGCAGATCTTTACAACCCAAAGGAAGCAGCTTTCCGTGGGAAAAAAAAGGAGGAAGTGATGAAAGGAATATCGGAATTTCAAGCATGGTCTTACTTGACAAGGTCTGAGACCCGCGACATGAAACCCGAGAGCACAGAAGGATCATGAACATTGTTCTCGACAGCTTCGACTTTTCCATTCAACGATCCGGTTTTCGCCTTACCATCGGCTGCCGGAGCAGAGTTTGAAGTCACCTTCAACACTCAGTTCAATATACATAAGCTTAGCAGACATAGAAGGCAAATCATATCTCCCACCTTACTTGGAAAAGGCAAGCAATACTAAATACATACCTCATCGAGTGTAGCATGGAGACTCCATGATGCATATTGCTTCTGGCTGAAGAATTGTGCCTGAAACATGGAGGAAGAGTTACTATCATCACATCTCTATCCCACATATCCGACACAACACATTGAATTGGGACAATGATGACACACTCAAAGGGGCAAATTCCTCTTATAAATACGAAATCTGGACAGAAATCCGCAACTGGTAAGAACTTCTTTTCACCGTTCAACAAGGAAGTGCAACAGAACTGTAGGACAAGTGGTGGGAGTCTTAAGTCATTGTATTAAAAGCAGAATAAACGGAAGATAAAGGAAGCACCTTTTAACCAGTGATCGATGCCATGATGAAAGCGACACAGCCAACATTAAACAAGTAAATTAAGCATGATAATTACCCAATTGAAAACCCTCAGAAAATCTAAAGAAATGGTTAGACCTTTCTCGTATACAAGATCGATGACAACCCATCAGCACAAAATATGCTGAGACATTGTTGGGTATGGACTGAAAGGGAGAGAGAGAGAGAAAAAACCAAGGAAGAAATTGATAGGGGAAGAAGCTTAAGACCTGGGAGGGATCAGACACAATGGGAAAGGAGATCCTGTCGAGTTTCCGGGAAGAAGTCCCCGAGATGGATCCGAAACGGCTGGAGGCACAGATCTTCGGACAGGGCAAAGACAGCGATGCCATCTAAACACCGAAATCTGTCGGAGGAGAGAGAGAGAGGTCGAGGAGGAAATGAGGGCCGGCTTGATGAAATCGAGGAAGGAAGCGAGGAGCGATCTCAGGGAGGAGATTTCGATGCTTACAATGAAGAGCAGCTTCGTATTCTTACTCTTTAGTGATATAACCACCCCTTACCCAACGCTGACCCCCCTGACTTGTTTTTTTTTTGGTTAAAGTGAGGGAAGAGTTGGGCCTTTCTGATGTTTGGTTCGGATACCAGTTACGGTTCAAACCCATAAACCCAAAAAAAAAAAAAAAAAAAAAACCTTAAAAGGAAAAAGAGCAAGGTAAGAATCAGCATCCTATCCAGTAGTTGAAGCAACTTAAGACAGAGCTTTGTCAATGAATACTTATTCTACTGTCAACAATGTGAACTGTTAAAAATTACAGAGTCACTCAGTAAAAAAAATGAAGAAGCAGAAGCCGGAAAATAATGAATCATCATCACCACCATCATCCACCAGAGAGAAGTGGCCATGGCATCATTGTTCTTTTGGGGTAATGTTTCAGACATTTTGAGAGGAAAAAAAACACAGAAGAGAGGAAAAGATGCAAAATTTGAGAGAGGCTCAGTAACGGTTCCAGTAGGTTCTGCGTCTGAACCAATTGTAGTCTGGCAATCCTTGGATTGGGCCTATCCCCCTAAATCGCTATGTCCTGCAAACGCAAAACCAATCACAGCTTCAGCCGATAGCCGCGAAAACAGATGGGTGGGATGAAAAGAGTTGTAGAATAACAGACCCTGTCGTAGATAAATCTGTTGGCAACGCCCTTTGACAGTGCTGGCATTAACGGCATCGATCCTAGCAAAAAGCTCCGCAGTCGGGGATCGTACGTCCATAAGTTAGCAGCCGCACATTCACACAATATTCTCTGCTCAGTCAAATACTGTAACAATCTTGAATTGAGATGCTTGGCATATGGCTTACTAGTAAGAAGAAGAAGGGATTGTCATACCTGACGAAAGATATCCTCAGCAATTGGTCTAGTTCCGTCCATGTGCAACAACAAGGAGGATTTCAGCTGCAAAAGATTAGAGGCGATGAACACTAAGCTTGTGGTAAACTAATGGAAATACCCAAAAGAGTGTCAGGGAAAGAAGGAAGTAAAGGTTATAAGACGGTTCTCCGAGACAATTTACAGAAGTTGCATAGAGGAAAAAGTTGGGTTGTTACCTGATTGCATGCTCGAGTCACATCAGCTTCTGAAACACGGTAAGCTAACTTGGTCACCTCATACGTGATGGCATACGCTAAATCATCCGAGCAGTCAGGCTGAACCAAGAAAACAACAAAAAAGTTACAAGATACGCATAAAATTCGCAAAACTTAATATTTGGATATTCTGATAAGTGTCCCACATTGGAAAATGAGAGGGATTTGGGTCAATATATAAGTAAGGGTCAAACCTCCACTCTTAAGCTAGCTTTTGTGGTGGAATTAGGGTCTATCTAAAGGGGGCGGTATTGATAAGTGTCCCACATTGGAAAATGAGAGGGATTTAGGCCAATATATAAGTAAGGGTCAAACCTCCACCCTTAAGCTAGTTTTTGTGGTGGAGTTAGGGCCTAAACCTTATTATATTCCCAGAGAGATGCCACGAGATATTATTATATTCCCAGAGAGATGCCACGAGATAGTAAATCGAACCAGACTCACCTTAGCAACAGCATAAACACCAAAGAGTCCAGTATCCTTGTAGTTAGTGTTGAATGCCATTATGCTTTCCGCTATTTCATTGATGGCAACCCTCTGGGACAGTTCAGAACTGCTCATAGGCATGTAAAACTAATCAATATAGATTGCAAGAAAGCTATGCTCTCATCCAGTGGCAAACCACGTTAGCATGGAGAAAACTTTGTAAATGATTTCTTCACTTGCTCAACAACTTCCTCGTGCTTGAAAGCTCCTGCGGCGGCAATCACCTGAAACCATTTTTTTCTCGAGACAATATGAACATCGTCCAGGATTGACAGGAGAAGGTAGCAAGGGAAAAGAAAAACAGAAAGAAGGATCATGGCTTACGACATTACCATTCTGGGAGCTGTGTAGTGTGTCTGTATGTAGTTCTGAAGATCCTCTCTGGTGATCAACTTGACATTCTAAGCAGGTTCCAGAATAGTTCTTCCCAGCGGCTTAAATTGGAAGGCAGTTGCGTGCAAATAGACAAGAACAACTTCGTCAGTTTGTCCCTCAACCTACAACCAATCCTGTTAACCGAGTTGAACAGAACAAAAGTTCAAATTTCTAAGACAAACCAAGCAATACATACCTCCTGCATTTCCCTCAGGATCACGTCCCGCTCCCGGTTAATCCTCCGTTCGTCGAATTTCGAGTTCTGCAATATATCCGGCAACACATCCAGCGCCTGGTTCACATCCTGATCCATCACCTTAGCATAGTAAGTGGTTTGCCCCCTCAATGTATATGCGTTCAAATGACCGCCGATATCCTCGATCTCTTCCTCCAAAGCTTTTACTGTCCGCCTCTCCGTGCCCTTGAATATCATATGCTCCAGAAAATGAGCCGTGCCATTTGACTCATCCGTTTCGAACCGCGACCCGGTGCGCGGTCGTGTGGCATAACGTGCGGCGGAGTCGCCGGGGTTGTCGACGGTGATGCGAAGGCCACGGCCGAGGACGATGACGACGATCTCACGGCCTGATTCAGAGATATACGTCTCTCTGACCGACGAGCTAGATATTAATCTCCACTGCTTGAGAAGAAGTTCGACAATGCTGAGCTGAAGTGTACAGAGTAACGACCTTGTATGTGCGGGATGTTTCTTGTCCGTTGATACAACTACAGACTCTGTAATTTACTTTTTGTGTGAGGACCACTTACAAATTGTATATAAACAGGGGTTTGTACAATGTAAAGAGTGTGAAAAAGCTTTATGAATACAACAACATTTTTAATTCTCTCTCTCTCGAGTCCTTCATCTTCATCCTCAGTCTTCTTCTTCTTCTTCAACCTTTAAACCCAGATCTCTGTTTTCTGTTATCAACATGGTATCAGAGCAGAGTATCCACTTTCTCCCCGTCTGATTTTCCCTTCTTCACAGTTCTTTTCTTCCTTCTTTTTAACCCATTTTTCCTTTCATTTCTTCTTTACTGTTACCATGGCTTCTTTTCCTGCTCAACACACCACCCCTACGCATGGATCTGT